CGCATCCATTTTTATGTTTACAAGAGAAAATATACGATTACATATATGTATTTGTAATATATTAAATATGTACTCCTACCATTATTTTTGTTTTATATTATTATTATTCTATACTATGTCGTATATTGGAATACTGCAATAGTGAATATCGATTCATGCTTTTGTAATTATTACACAATTTATTAACCCATCATAACACTTTTATTTATTAGTAATTTTTAAATTTGGTTCTACAACAACGCTATTGGTAATGCAGACAGACTCAAGTAAATGATCGTATTAGTTCAATATTACAATAAGAATATAGAATAATCATAAAGTAATTAACCATAATAACAATTATTACATTGTCTACAGTACAGCAGCCTAATAGCTCTCATATTTTTTTGTTTATATCAATGCAAAGCACAGTTACTATTATTATTATTGAGGACCATTGAAATAGCTAGTGGCGTTAGGAAAGCGCTCAGGAGTAAAGTCTGAGTTATCTCTAATTCCTGCTCTCACATTACTTCGTAATAACTCTCTGTATGCTGATTGAATATTTATATCGGACCCTGCACCTTGCGCTACCACCTCTAACGGCGCAACTGAAGCCAAACCAGTTGCTGTTACTGCTCTGCGCACACTCTCTACAAAAGCAATATCATTATCACAAAAACAAATTTACATTTTCTTATTATAGTATTTTGAATAACTTACCTGAAATTACTTGAGACAGACTACCTCGCGGTTTAGCAGCTGTCACAATCTTCCTCCGTTTACTGGGCATTCCCGACAAATAAGCGTCACTGAAAGGAGCTTGAGAATTTTGTCGGCGTTGTCTCTGGGCATCGCGAGCTATTATAGGAACCCAATCCTTAAAAATGCAACACCAGATATTATGTAAATTTTCAATTATTTTAGGTGCATTAGTAGCTTACAGCTGGTACGTCATTATGCCAAGTTTCTGATCCTAATACAACTGTAGGAAGAGGTTCCCCGTCATTTTCCTTATCCCCGAGATTTATTACAGAAGATGGCGTAATTTCAGTTGAACCGCTCGCTCCACCACTATTGTCATCTCGATCGACATCGTCCACTTGCATAGCCTAGAAAGATCAATATAATTAATTTTTCTGTAGTCCACATAAAACATTTTTAACCATTTAAAATATTGATTTACCACAACTTAAATTTTGAATTTCGGGGAATGATGTAACTTTTTTTTTAATTGTTGCTAAAATTGACCCTACACTATCTAGAAACTTACTTCTCCTTGCTGATCCTTTTGTGCAATGGCAACAACATTTGACGTCACAGCATCAATCTTACGAACTATATATGGTTGTAAAACACTATCAGGAACGCCTAGATTAGACAAGAATTGCCTCATTTGTGTTCTAGTTGTCATTAATGTCCACTGTTGAATCTCTCTTGGAATACCTCTCGTATGATGACTCTACACCAAACAGAATTATAAAAATAGCGTAAAAAATTACAAATATTATCTATATCTTACAACTATCGAATCCAAAACAACTTCAACACCAGGTTGTCCGTTCCTACTCGCACGCAAAATCAACGCACCAAATTGTTTCGCAGTTATTAAGCACTGATCAACAAGCATTCGAAGAGAATTAGGGCTTCTTGATGTGGCCAAAGAAATTATATTTGGCAAACGAGCACGAAACAATGATTGGGCAGACCTCACTAAGTCGATATCGTCACGCGTGGGTAATGCATTCTAGAAGAATTAATAAGAATTATTTTGCAAAGAGTACTATGGAGGCAAAGCTAGGGCTAACTGCAGAAGAAGAAATAGGATTCTGCGAAGTAATTTTTGTGTGTGAAGACAGTGAAATAAATGAGATCTAGGGCTGATGATGGGGGGGAAAAGGGTTACATATGTAGATGGAGATAATGTTTGTAAGGGTTCTCTTCTAGGCTTAATACTTATATACAGTAACTTCGACGAAGGAGAGAAGATGGTAAACAAGTGGTGTGTGTGCCCGAAGGAAAGGAAAAATAATTTGGGATAAAAATAAGACAGAGGCCTAAAGATAGGCTAGGGCACTAAGGTGAAATACATGAAGTTAGTTGGGGAAAAATGACTATGTGGGAAACTGCGAGAAAGTCAGGGATGGCAAAATAGGTAGGGGAAGGATCGAATATAGGGAGGTGCTTAGTAGAATGGCGAGTGGTAAGGCTACAGGTGAGGATGGGATCCCAATTGAATGTATGAATGCGTCAAGTAGAGAGGTTTTAGAATTGATAAGAATTGCTCTATCAAATTTGGACGAGGCAAAATATAGGAGGGTTGGGAGATATCTAGTATTTTGCTAATTTATAATGATGGGGATGAAAGTAGAGCAGAAAATTACCGGAGAGTTTCACTATTAGATGTAAGATACAAGGTTTTGACCAGCATAATGGCAAATAGATAGAGCAAATGTCTAGATGAATAAAATGTATTAAAAGAGAGTTAAGAAAGTTTTAGAAAAATAGAGGGACAGGAGGGATCATATCTGTGTGTTTAATGCATTAATAAATACTAGATTAAAGACAAAGTGGACAATTTTACGTAGAATCCATAGTTTTTAAAGCCGTTTTCGATTCAGTGAATAGAGAGGTCCAGGTAAATAGAAAGGTAAAGAGAGAGTTTGATACTAATGTAGGGATAACGCAGGAATTCGCTCTAAGTACAATTCTCTTCGATATTTTTATTGATGATCTGGATGATGTAGATTCTTAGGAAAGGACATTGCAATTGTCACAGAATGTGCCAAAGAATAAGAAAACATGTTAGGGACTTTAGTAAAATACGTCGAGAAAAATAAGCTAAGGTAAATGCGAAAAAACTATAGTGATGGCCTTTAGGAACAGAGAGAAAAAAAAAAGAAATTTAAGAGTGAAAAAATTGAAGTTGTAAATGAATTAAAATATCTGGGGATACTGGTTTACGACGAAAAACAGTACAGAGGGGCATATAGGAAGACTGGCAAGAAAGGTGCAAAAGGCGGCCTGGGAGGTGATTAAAAAGACCAGGTGAAATTTAAGAGATGACCGTGTGTATTTAATGAACTCGATGGCTAGATCCGTAGCACTATGTGGAGTAGAAATTTGGGGCAGGGAGAAATACGCCAAAATATATTTAGAAAAATGGGTTAAAAGTAAAAGATAAGTAAAAGTGGAGTCAGGGAAATATTAACTCACTTGTTTTGTTATGGAGTAGCAATGGAAAGCCAAAAAGAGGAAGTAAAATAATTTATGTTGGAATGGAAACCGACAGATTAGAAAATGAAATGCGGGAGTTAATGGTAGAGATTTTGAACAGAGAAGTATGTAACGAATTATTGTGAATATATGAGAGCGGTTGAAGAGAAAATAAGGGAAAACAGAGGTAAATTTTAATAGAATAGTTTAGAAGGTAAAATTATTTACCAAAATGTAAAATGGAGGCAAAAGGTAAATACTCTGTTAGAGCATGCATGTACATTATTAAATAATAAATAATAGTAGAATTATTTCGATTCTATTATATACTCCAAATAAACTCACGAGATGATTAAATAAGGGTTGCATCTCTGACAAGATGCGATTAACGCCTCTGTCAATTGCCACGCTGGAACAAGATCCATTCATGACACGAACCAAAAAAAAGTTTCGTATAGAAGAACGAATGCGCATCCAAGGCTCAAGACGGCCATTTGTCGATTGTATCAAATCACTGAAACCAATAATAATAATGTCCAAAAAATTTAAAAACCTTGTAATCCACTAACCCAACAGTTAAATGGCGTGACAACAAATTTATAAGATCTAAAAAAAGATTTTCTCCCTCAGAAACACTGCTTAATTGGAGCAACTCTGCAATTGTAGGACCAGAAGTATTAGAGTCAGAAAGATTCTGAAAATAAATGCACTATTAGACATAAATTAAATCAACAGTTACAATTCTTTTAGTTAACGGAACTAAATGAAAATATGTCCTGACACAGGTAGAACTTGATTTTTTTGCAATTTCCGTTGACTATACAGAAGTAGAGCTTCGCTTTGACTTATTACTTACAATATTTTGCAATTGAGGCATAAACGTTTGCAGCAATTGAAGCGGTAAACTATTTAAATCTGTAGTTGCCCCTTGCCCCACACCATCTCCGGCACTTTGTGCTACACTTCCCGTCACTCCATTATCCAGTGGTGTAGCTTGTGCCACATTAACAGTAGTTCTTTGTTGTTGCTGCGCTTGAGGTTGTTGCTGCGCTTGACGACCATAGATAGTATGTATTGAATTAACTATACCCTGCAATATATTCATGATTGTGTTATTAACTGGATATATTCGAGTGCCTCCACTATCTCTATCAGTTCCAGTTCCTCCACTTTGTAAATTTTGGCCACTTGCAGTTGCAGTAGCATTGTCCTGTCGTGCATTACTTGACTGGAATCGTCTCCAAGGAACAACGTGATGTGAATTACATGGCAAGTAAGGATCAAATCCCTGTATGGCATGTTGTGCGAGATGCACGTGTGGACGCGAAGTAGATCTTGTATGAGTAGCTGTCGTGGGATTAGTTTGAGTGTTACCTCGAGCTTGAGAATTCTGAGTTGTGGCAGCCGACGATCCTAAATTTGATGTTGTTTGCGTACCGAAAGATTCGCTAGTTGATGAATCAATTTGTTCGGTGGGTGGAGCAGACGGAGCTGTGGTCGACGTTGAAGATGACGTCGGATTTGGTGTATTAGATTGGGTAGACTGAGCTCCTCTGTTTACTAACTGACCAGCCATGTGCCATATCGAATTTAAAATATCTGATGGTGGGCCTTGAAAAGCATTTTGCAGAACTGTAAATTAAATACATAAATAAAAACAAAACGAAAATAAAAATTAAAAACTAACGTTCGTTAGCTTGACCACCTCCAACAAAAGTTGTCTCCATTGAATCGATTGTGATACTCTCTGGGGTAACTTCCATAAACACTTCCATATTCGGATTATTATGAAAGCCTGGTATAGTAAATGTAGCCCCTTGAAGTCCCCCAGGGACACTAGATGTTGTTGATGAAGCAGTTGTAGAAGAAGGACCACCACCTATCAACAATTTAAATACTTAAAGTTAGCCAACCTCCTAAATACAACCAATTATTTATTCGAGTTTTTTTATTTAACGTCAAACTTTTAAATTTTAGTTCTGAAGACACTGCTTCAACGATAAACTTAAATACGATCATGTTTAAATATTACGAATGCTAAACAAGTAATTCTACTCAAATTTAATACACTGCTCCTTCGATCCTGAGTTATCTGACTTCCTAGATACCGAAAATCAGCCCTTCTAATTTTTCGTCTCCTATGTTTATATTCGCTTTCCTTACTTTTTCTTTCCTTGTATACCAGCATTTTTCTTTTACTTTTATTTATTTTCATACAATACTGTTTTGTTCTACCCTTGCAAAAATTTTGAAAAAAATATGTTATAGAGCACAGCAACGTGTATTTAAAAAGAATTGTGACAGTGTTTCTTAATTTAGGTAACTTTTTTTATTTTTGAATTTTTTTAATTTCCACTGTTTGGACAATATTTAATACTGTTTATCTTTGGCGTATCTAGCGCATACCAAAAAATTTGTTAGCATAATACCATATTTTGTAACATAGTAATAATATAAATAATAATGAATAAAATCGTATTTTGTTCAATTACCGCTTTTTTATCTAAAATTATCCTATAATAACTTGGTTCTTACCTGATACTGGAGTTTCTGTAGAACTAGTAGTTTGTTCTGGTACTAGATTATTGGAAGATGTTTCATTACTTGCTGGTGTATGCACAGTTGACATATTAGGGATGTTGTTGTTATTATTATTACTCCGCGGCAATGTTAGGCTTATCCTTGGACTAGAAAGACTTCTTATTTCAACAGGAATAGTCTGAACTCGCATACTTGTTGGACCCGGAAACATCGGAAATCCAACAACAGTTGGTTGCAAAACAGCTGAGGATGCTACTGGCTCATTACCTCCTGAACTAGTGGTAGAAGATGAAGGAATGTTGCGGTTCACAGTATTCGTTTCTTGCTAAAATTATGACATACACCTTCAAAGTAAGTAATGTTAATGGAAATATTACTTACCTGATTAGTACTTGTAGCAGAATTGGAAACTTGAGATGTCTGACTTCTAGATGGATTAGTACTATCAGGAGAAATATTTATTTGAGCCTACAAGAATGAAGTAATAAGAAAAAAACTACAAACATTAAGAAACAAATACTTCAACTTGAATAGGAATTCCAGCTTGTACCACCGTAGGGTGCTGTATTACTACAGGTCTACAAAGCAGAGGACGTGGCGGAGGTGTTCTGACACGAACTATAATATCACTTAATGAGTGATAAGCATGTCCAAGAAAATGTAAGACCTCTGAAACGCGGTTGATAAAGGCCTGCGTCTGACGAGTATTCTAAATATAAAAACCAGAAAAAAAATTTAAAAAAAATCAAAATAACATTGTAAACAATCACCTCTTCTGATATGGCCGGATCATTACGCATAAACTGAATATAACGATCCATATAAGGAGCAAATCGTGTTTGAAACCTAGCCATATTTTCAAGCAATTCTGCAAACTCTGATGTTCTAGACACATTCCTTAAATAAAAATTAAATTATAGTTAATGTTTAAAACAGGTAATCAGTGAAATACTCAGTTATATTTGTCGAAGTTCCAGAAGATCTATCAACCCCACTTTGTGGAGCTTCAGTTCCTTGAACTCCTGTTGAATCAGATGCTTCCACAGTATCCATTGCAATCGTAGCCTCTTGATTATTCAATGCGGAAAGATTTTCAATTGAATTAGCTAAGGGGCTAACACCTCCTGGAGTTGACGATATTGATCTTGCCCTGGGTGATCCTGAATCATCAACACCTAAATTATTTCGTTCCACTGTAACCTCTTGCTGGTTTGCTAAACCTTCCTGGAGGAAAACTGGTTGAGAAGATGAACCCAATTGCCTATAATTCATAGAACTTAAATTGCCAAATGAAGGAAACCATCAGTGGATATAAACTAACACTGCACCCGCATTAATTAAATTATTATGAACTGCAGATAGCACATCATCCATAGGGTCAGTTGGAACTAAAACACGGGCCTCAAATACAGGAGTTACATCTTCCTGTTGTTCTTCTTGTGATGGTTGTTCAGGATTTTGTGGATTTTCCAAAGCATTAAGTACTAATGCAGCACGACGTAACATTCTAACAAGTTATAGGTCATTAACATCAATACTGATTACTTCTAAACAAAATACCTTCTTGCAACATTCAACCTGCTAGCAGATAAACTATGTGGTGATAAGGGCAAAACAACATTCTGTGGATCAAGTAAAGAAGAAGGAATTGCCATTGAGCCAAAATACATTGCATTTCCATGTTCAGGACCTCTAAAATGTCTTCGGTGAGGTGGAGGTGTAGCTGGTCTGGATCTCTGATTACTAGCAGGGGGTGCACGTTGAACCAGATGTACAACTTTACCATGAACATCTAGAGATGCAAATTGAACAATTAAAACCGTTTACTTAAAGTTCTCATATATATTACCATATTCCTTTAATTTTGACTCATCTTGCAGTACTCTTCCACAATATATTATCCGCTGAGTATCTGCTGGAATGTTTACAGTATCAGCAATTTTTTCTTTAAACTGAGCAACTGTAATCTAAAATGGGGGTAAATAATAACTGCATGAAACAAATACTTTATATTTATTTAAATACTTACATCATCGTCAACCGTAAACGAATGATTTTGAGAATCCAATGTTTTAACTGTCAACTCTATCATTGTTGTGGGAAAAACGCCTCTAATTATTTTCTGGAGCTATTTTTTCACGATGAATTATATTTTGTCAACGAAATGTCAACAGTACACACAAATTAATAATTTTTTAAACTGATAAAAGCAACTTTGTTATGGGAATGAATAACAAAATGGTGATACATCGTTTCGGTTATTTTCACATTTTTTGGCAACTACTTAGTAATACTATAAACTTAATATACTAACACTTTCTCACCAGAAAACATTCACAAAAAATTAATTGTTTATTATCTATCGTCTAATATATTTTTGCAAACTATTAGACGTTTAATAAATAATGAAACTATGTCGCAGTCGCAATTTTTATTAAAAGAACATCTATGTATAACATATGTATAATCATTATGCATTTAGCGCATAGATTTAGCGTCTATCTACAAGCCGCAGAAGAGCAGTCATAACGAACTTTACCGAATATAGTCGAATCACAAAGTCTTCTATGGTCATAGATAATAGTCAGAACCATAGACATATATTAATGGACGTGCCCTAGCCGTATGTCGTTGTCATAGACATATATAATGGACATGCCTTAGCCGTATGTCATTGTAATAATTTCTTGGCTCGAAAAGTGAGGGAGATGGCGTATGGTTTCGGTTTCATGACACGCTTACGCACTATCGTGAGAGAGATGGATATTATCCGAAACTTCGTTCCATCTCTTTCTTTTGTTGTACCACAATTCTGACCGCTAAGGCATGTCCATTAATAAACGTCGATGGATTACACGTATAGTTTCTACCCGCCAACGCGTATTAGTAATATCAATGAACAATCTAATAAAAACATTGAAAATAATGTAATTAAACATGTTAAACATTATTTATAGTCGAGGAACGTAAATGTTCGTCGAAAAAACGATACTGAATATTAATTGATCAATTTAAAGCAAAAAAAGTTACATTTTCTACAAGAGGGCTAAGTTTAACGTAAAAAATTGTCTAATTTTTATTATTAAACGAAACGATTACGGCTTTAAATAAAAAAAAATTTAAAAAAAATCTTGCTGGGCTAACTTTTCGAACCTGCTTTTGCCGTGTTCCTATCTATGGTTCTTGTCAATTTATGCTCCTGTCAAAAACCGCTAGTGTTAAAAATAGTTAAAAATAATTATTCTTTGAACCAGTAATTGGTATATTATTAATTGAATTGTTTATTTATTTCTGCCAATTTCTGTATTTGCCTTCTGTCATCTATAAAGTGTTATTTACTACAAACTTAAAATACCAATCTTTTCAAAAAATGAATATCAGCAAAAAAATTGAAGAAGGTTTGGAGCATATAAGAGTGGCTGAAAAAAAGTAAATATTATTTTAGTGTTAATTTTAGCGTAATTAAAAATACGTTTTCAGCTTAAAAACATCATTTCTGAAATGGCGCCCCGACTATGAACTTGCTGCTGAAGAATATAACAAGGCTGGTGTGTTATTAATGCTGGACACTTTTCTCAAATAATATAACTGCTTATTTTTAGCGACATGTTTCCGAAATGCAAAGTCCTTTGAACAATGTAAGGAATGTTTACTGAAGGCCTCTGATTGTCACAAGCAAAATAGATCGTATCCTTTATAATAGTGTAACTGTGGACAGTTTAAAGGCTAACTTGTAAATCTCAAAAAGGATATAGAAGAAAATTAAATAAGTTATCATTCTCTACAGAACTTCTCTTAACTTATAGTGATAAATTATTAATTAAATTATGCGCAAATATTAGCTATAAAGAAACATTAGGCTAAAGTAGACAACTAAAGATCTTGGAAAGGAAGTGAATAAAAAGAGATTCACTCCTAATTACCATAAAGACTTAAATATTGGACATAGTTTGTCCATGCCCTTGTGAGCATTATTAACAAGACTGTTTCTTACTTGATGATACTTACTAATAACTGAAACTGAACTTTTTAAATATCTTTATGCAAAATTTCTTTATAGTTTATAGAAATTTCAGGGAAAATTATAACGACGCTTGCCTTATTGCCATGCCAATTAGGGGTGGTTTAAGCTCGTCATACTACTCGAAAGCTGTAATTTTTCATCACAATAGTTGCTCTAATTAAGGCATTTTTTTCGCAGTATTTTCAATGTACATCAGAAAATTATTATCATACCAATGATGGGGCCTGAGCACGTGATATTGCTCGAGAGTTATTTTCTTGTTTGTAATTTATGCATTGCGCAATTTATAATTTTTCGCGGAGATTAATAAAAGTATCTAAAATTTTGGAAAAACACGTTATACCTGTAATTTTACAAAAAGACTGAAAATTAGTAAATCCTGGAAATTTTTAATCTATTTAGTTCTGATTTAACTCAATGCTTTGAAATAAACCAGATATTTTTATCCAGTACTACATAAAAAATATTTATGGTTTTTTGTAACATTAATAAAAAAAATTAAAAAGATGATTAAATGTGTTGAATTAAAAATTAAAAGGAATACTCACCCCTAATTACCACAAATAATTTTATTTGAGCGGACACGTTTCCACGTCCCCTA